TTGTTTAAAATGAGATGGAACCCCCTTCTTAACAACAATACTGGTGTTTTTTCTATTAATGAATATCATGGTAAATGTTTACAAAACTCTAATATGCTATTAGCTTTCTACCAAAAATAATAATAATATGCTATTAGCTAAACTTAGGAAGACAGTATTTTATGTACCACATGCAGGAGAAGCAAAATGCTCACATGTTGGCAGGAAGATATCAGATGAATCTATCACCCACAAGATTTCTACTCAATTTCCATATAGAAGGTCTGCAGAGGACACTGTGGCAAAGTTACCTCATATGCTCAAGTTGACTAACAAGAACAGATAGAATGACTGCAATATACACTGCTTGTTATCCCAGTTGACTCAGATATCTCAAAATGAGTGAACACGTAGGAAGCGGATTGTGTAGTCAGTGACACAAGAGGAAGCATTATAACTATAACCAAGCCTCCAATAACCTGTCAAGGAAGCAATACAATTTTTAAATGTTACACTACCAGCTGGATGTTGCTGGAAATAACTTATCAGAACTCACTTAAAAATGAAAAGAAAGACAAAAAAAGAAAAGAAGAATAGTATACTATCTATGCTGGAAATAATAGTATTTCCCCTTCATTTCCTGTAAAAGGGAGCAATAAGAGCAGRTTGTGCTTCTATTTGTTAGTATTTAGACAGAGTTCTGTTTCACCTGTATAGATGCTAAGGTGCTTGGACCTTGCATGGGCACAACTTGAAGCAAGCTTCTGTCCTGAAAACCAAAAGACAAGTCATAAGGAAAGACAAATACCAACAGCATGTGAAATTGTATACTACCTATGCTGCATATACAAAGAGTTCAACCCACAATAAGGAAAGACAAACCACTTTATTTGAGAATTTTCCTTTTTTCTGTTGCTTCTCCTGTGGATTGAATCGTAAGTACTTGTTAAATCCTGAATTCCTGAGTTTTATTGTAAGAGAATTCTAGTAAAATTTCATACTCAGTCTGGAGTGAAACAAAATTAACACATATCAAATAGTCAAGTTTAAGACAGCATGCACACATCATTATCTTCGTACCATAATTTGACTATTGAATCATAGTTAACATCATTATCTATTAACAGCTTAGGGGTAATTGCTTGGTGGAATGGTAATATCATGAGTGAGAGAACATGAGATCTAGCCCAAGAGTGGTCGCTTAATGCAAAAGATGCTAGAGTGTAGGTCCATATCCAGCCCACCCCTCCCAAGGTCCCAGATAGCTGGGACCAGAATTGGGTAATGGCCTTCCTTTATAAACCTAGCTACATCATTGTTTATTTTAAGCAACTTTACAGAAAATTACTTTATTATGGATCATCCCCCCAAGCTTAGACCCTAAATTCCTCATTCCAAGAGATTAAAAGTTCCCATTGATTCTGTTAATACATGGATGGCAAAGAATATTTGTTTCCTTGGTGAACAGATGAATAGTAGGAAAGCTTCAAAGGGAATGCTGATACCAAACTACCAATATTTGACAAATATGGTGATGCAGACAAGTGCTATACCCAGATTTCTCAAGTATATTAAGAAGAAATACTTCAAATTACTCCGCATACAAAATAACTTCTAGGATATTAAGAAGAAATACTTCAAATTACTCCGCATACAAAATAATTATTAATTATTATTATTTTCGGGTCATCTCTGGCCCCCCTGTACAATGGCCTAAACAAGGTAAAGAATGGAGAGATCTGCAGGCTGTAGCGAGGGTGTTGTGTTATGAGCTGATTGTTGTAGATGGAAATACTGTCATTTGGAAAAAACCTTCAGATGATTCATGTATCTCTGGTCAGAATGAGTTTGGGCTTGAATTGTGCACTGACTCTGATGACCCAAATTATGCATGGTAAGCTTCATAAGTATCCATGGTTAGTTTCTCAATTTGGTTTCAATACACCCTTAGTTGCAGGAGTAGGATCTTAACATATTAAGGTGTCACTGTGCCTTCAGAGATTTGTTTCATTTTAGCATACTTGCATATTATGCATGTATTATTTTTTTTTTATCAATATATTATGCACATAACATATTATGTACAAACTCCACAATCGACATGTTTTGGATTAAACATTTAGAACTTCACACGGTTAATAATTTCTAAATAGATCATTTCTATGCAAATAATTTGCCATTTTCAGAGAACGAATATGGAATTCATATATAATAATGTTTTCTTCACCTTTATAGGTCATTTCTATGCAAATAATTTTAAAGAAAATATTTTTTTTTGTCTTTTCTATGTATATAATCATATATTGTACATCTTACATATTTTACATGATTTGGTCAGTAATCTAGTTAGAAAGAAATGAGAAAATAGAGGGAAAAATAGAAGAGAGTATAAAGCTGAAGAAAACAGGTCTGAAAAAAAGGATAGGCGTACACTCCCTTTCCATTATATAAACTCCTTTTCAAATATAATTGAAAACAACCATTATACTCCTGATTGTACTCCCTTAAACTGCAAATCATAAGAAATAATCAAAGACAAGAACTTAAATGAACCTAGGAATACACCTGTACACATAAACTCCCTATTCTTACTCAAACATTATACAAGACAGAAATATGGAGCATTTCTCAATAATATGCATTAACATGTAAAATATATGCATATAAGATAAAATGAAAGAAAACCATACACGAAAGCTTATTGTACTGTATTATTGTTGTATGCCAAATTGCTAATTTTTTTTTTGGAAATGCCAAATTCCTCACCGATTGCCTGGTGTGAAAAACCGTTAATGGTAGCAGTGAAGTAGATCGATCCCAAAAATGAGTAGGAGCAGATCTGAAAATGATAAAACCAGTCAGAGTGAAAAAACAAAAAGAAGGAAGAATGAGGAAGAGGAGGATAATGGTTTAGCAGTGGTCTTACCTCGCCGGAGGTAGGTTCGGCCCTCTGTTCGGCGATGGAAGATGGTGATAGTTCCCTGCTCTCTGTTCGGCTTTCCCAATGGAAGATGGCAATGGAGTTCTCCCTGTTCGGCGAAAATGAGGAGGGCATTCTTGTCCAAAAAAATAAAAAAAGATATTCATATCTGGAACGAGAATCGCATTCCCTGGGGAGGGGTCGGGAATGGCCATTCCCCATACGAAGGATTCCCATTCTATTCTGATTCTGCCAAACCAAACATTTGGATTCGAAATGAATGATTCCGATTTCGGACCCTATTCCTCCGAACCAAACACATTCTAAATATTGCTTCCTTGTAAAAGCTTGATATAAAGTGCTAGGTATACTTTATTAATAAATAACCATTGGCCCATGTCCTTAAACATTTTCCACTTAGCTTAATTGGTTAGATGACCATTTTCTGATAGCAACACAAATGATTGTTAACAGTAGATTGATTAATTAAATTGGTTGTAAATTATAAGAGTGTTTTAGTAAAATACAAATTATAAGGTAGGTTTTAGTCAGTGAAACTACAAGGATGTTTTTAGCAAATGATCCTTTAGTTAAAAGATAAAAAAAGAAGCTAATGTTTATTTTACCCTTCAAAGATCCCAATATTCCATATAAGCAATAAGTATGCCATGTGGCTAAGTTTATTTCTTTTTTTTTTTCAAGGGGCTACACAACTAGCCAGGTAGCCTGTATGGGTGTAAATGGATCAAATTCGAATCAAATAAGGCAATATTTGAATTTGAACTCGATTAGAAAATCCGATATCCGAATTCGATTCGATATCCGACGGATGTTGAAAATTAATATCTGAATTCGAATCTGATTAAATATTTGAATATTCGATTCGATTCTAATTCGATTAATTAATAAATATATAAAATTAATGTTTTATCGATATAAAATATACAAATATATAAATTATTTATATAACTTAATTATTATATATATATAAATTATATAAAAATTTTATATATTATATCGGATAAGGTCATATCTGAATTACAATCCAATTAACTATTTGGTATGAAAAGAATATCCAAATTCGACCGATTAAATATTTAAATTATTCGAATTTGATTTAATTATGTCGAATGTAAAATTTAAAATCAGATTTTTAAATACCACTGAACCACCATTAATTAATTAACTGTTGTAGTCTCATGTGATGATGATGATGATATGGCAGGCCTTTACCTATCAAGGAAATTAGCTCCGACTTATGTTCACATGTCAGTGGCTCTAGTGCACCCAATTGGTTAGCTGCTTCCCCTACTATAGGTTCGAACATAGAGCAAATAACGCAAGTGCTATAATCATTCAGGGAGATAAGAATGATGTTGAGGAGCTCGAAATGTTTACCGAGACATACGTACTTGTACATTGAACAAACTGACCACGTTACGTGAATACGATGATAATAAAGAGAATTACATTAATTTTCAGCTTGACAATCATCAAAACAAGTCGATTCAGTTAGAGATCTTCCTAATTTTTGGAATCTTTTGTTCATCCATTTCCTCTTTGGTGGGTAGAATATTTAACATGAACATCCCATATACATGAAATGATGACTATGGATAGAAGGATATTGTTGATTTATGTGTTTGGATGATAACAAATTTATTGAGACTACATACTAATGTTATTTAATATAACTGTATGGAATAATTTTATAAATAAACCTAAAAGAGTTGATGAAAATAATGATGATCTGAGACACACAAAGAAGTAGTTGTATTAAATGATGGATTAAACTTTCTCCAAGCAAAGGAAGTATGCTACCGTGGACAAGAAAAAGAAGACATCAAACTCTAGAGTTTATAATTTGTCTTATTTCTTTAGGATTTGACGTAGGGCCCATTTTGCATGTCTTTCCATATGGTCTTTCAGTTATTTACAAGCCGAGATCACTAATTTTCAGTCTATTCCTGTTTGGTTTATGGAAGATCTAGTCGTCAAAAGACGGAGCGCCGAAAAGACACGAGAAGTCCATTTTGGGTTGATTTTGAGAAGCTCCAAATGAAGTTTTTTGCGTCTTTCGCATTTTATTTTCGCACGAAAAGACGTATATCTACCAAACTAGCTTCAGGCTGCTCAGATCTTCATACAAAATCTCAATGTGTCTTTTGACTGTCAGAGCTACTAGAAGATCTTCCAAAAAGGATGCGCCAAACGGGCTCATAATCAATTGCAAGACGCACTACTATGGGCTTAATTCAGACCTATCTCAGTTCATCACAATCTTAAAGACTAATGGTTAAGATAGAAAAGATGGCTAGGCTTTCCTAGAACTTATACTAACCTTAAGGCCACGTTTGTTTAAGGTGAAAAATCGAACCAGGGTAAACTTTACACCATGATTCAATTTTACATGTGTTTGGTAGAGGTGTTAATATTGCCTCGTAAATTGATGTAAAAGTCCATTCTTGCCAATATATACATTGAAAATCAATGAAAAGTTTACATCGATCTTCTTCACCATCCAATGGTCTCTTTCTTCATTTCGCCCACACATATTCCTAACCTCAGACAAGAGATTGTGAGAAGACCTCTAATCGTCACTGCTTGTCACTGGAAAAATGCCTGGTGAAATGTCTGGTTCTATCTGCAACCATGTCACTACTCGTCAAGAAGACCTCCTCTGATTGTCACTGATCATTACTACTCGTCACTGGCGAAGTGGACCCCCTCTAATCGTCACTAGCGAAATGTCTAGTTCTATCTGCAACCATGTCACTACTCATCAAGAAGACCTCCTCTGATCGTCACTGGTGAAATGTCTGTTTCTATCTACAACCATGTCACTACTCATCAAGAAGACCTCCGTGTGTGCTCCTACGACATTTTCTCCACCCAGGACCACACCACTGCTGCCATTGTTTGTGACAACCACTAGTGTCAAGAGACTTTACCAAATCGAGAACAATGAGAGTTTCAGAGCAAAGGAGCAGGAAACCTTTCACTTTTACATTGAAACAACCAAACAACATGAGAGAAAATTTTCAAAACACCCCGGTTCAATTTTCCATCGATCACTAAACCGGGATCAAATTTTCCACCGATGTAAATTTGAAATTACACTTAAAATAAATGCATCTTAACTAAAAAAATTTTGTGTGGAAGCCTAAGGAGTCAACTCCCAAATCCTTGGAATCACCTACTTAAGTTTTTTAAAGTTGGACATAGTCAATAGTCGACTACCCATAAAACAATAATCAATTATCCAAAAGGTAATAGTCGACTATCTGTGATAGTTGAGACTGGTGTCATTTAGTAGTTGACTACCAGTGACAATCAAGCCTAGTGTAACATTGGTTCTAGCTAGTAGTCGACTAATGGAATGAGGATATTTGACTATGTTTATCAAGAGAGACTAAGTTACAAGTAGTAGTCAACTACCAAAATGTAGTAATCAACTAGAAGAGAAAAAAGATTATCTCTTGCGAGTAGTAATTGATTACTTGGACCTAATAATTGATTACGTAATTCTAACAGGATGAAGCAATGGACTACTTAGTCTTGCTAATTGACTATTTCATGAAGAAAAGGCCAACTTTTTACTGTTTAAACTCAACAACTCTTTTCTCTTTTGGTAAGCCTTCAACTATATTAGGAATAAAGTGTAAACATTTCCTAGAGTGATTTAAACCATTACCAATGGCTCTTTATTGGTCACAAACTCTCTAAGCCTGATTCATGCTACATATGCATAGGTTTGATCTAAAAAACAAAGAGAAGTGAATTGAGCAGAATTAAGAAAATTGAAAAAGAGAGCAATAGATAAAAGATTTAATCGATTCCCTAGGGCTGCAATCAAATCAAGCTTTAATCGAATAGTTTAGGCTTGATTCGAGTTTAATTCTAATCAAGCTTAAATCAAGTTCAAACCTCAAGGTAAGTTCAATTAGTTATTTGAACTCAAACTCGACCAATGAAATGTTCGGTTCAAAAGCTCATGAGCCTGGCTTAATTAATACATACATATATACGCATATTATAAAAAATATTATGAAAAAATATTTTTATATCTATATATTTAATATAAGAATATCCTATATTATAAAAAAAATACCTATAAAAATATATTCATTTTCGAGTTTTTGACTCTCGAGCCTAGTGGTATTTTAGTTCAAACCAAAGTTCAGCTGGCTCGGCTCAATTGTTCCCCTAGAAGACCCTAAGGCAAGAAGACCCTTCTATTTTAGCTTGTTGGCTTGTTCAATTTTTTAAACAATCTGAAGATTTTGATGTTAAACTTAGTGCAGAATATGTATACATTATATATAGGCTTTGGGGTTGTTATTCTAGAGTTGGTTACACGGAGACTCCCAGTTGATCGTAAGTTTGGGGAGGACTAGTGAAGGGGTTTGCACCACGATGGATCTGAAAGGAGTTGAACATGTGATTGACCCCAAACTTGACTCCTGTTTCAAGGAAGAGATTTGCAAGGTCCTTGATTTTGGTCTCCTTTGCACTAGCCCTCTCCCGGTTTACCGCCTCTCAATGCGAAGGGTGGTGTAGATGGTGCAGGAAATGAGTGCAGAGGTGAAAGGACATGCCCAAGACCGGAAAGAATGATGGACCTCCGATCATGGAAGTGTAGTTTGACAAATTAGAGCAAGGTTTTGTGAAGACAATGTCCAAGGGGAAGAGAGTAATAAAGCTTCTCTTTCTTCTTCTCCTATAATTTTGTAAGCCCCTCTTGGTGTTTGTTTGAATGTTTCACTCAGAGCGAGAGAGAGAGCAGCGAAGTATTTGGTGGTTCAGTTAAAGAATTGCTATTGTGTAATTCATGCCCCCCCCCCCCCYCCCCTCTTGTATTCAAATGATATTACAAGGAAAATTAATTGCCCTGTCTACCTTCCTCCTCTGTGATATTTCAATGAAATTTTCATTTTGACCAAGATATCCCACATATCAGAGGTAGAGAACTATTATCAATTAGTGAAAGCAGTTGGGATTTTCTTGATTATTCATGGTACTTACTAGTGAGCAAAGGAAGTCCCTGCTATTGTCGACTGGTTTTTCTTTCACCCTTACCTGTACATTTTACGCTCTGTAGCCACTGGTCACTTATAAATTTCTGGGAAGCTTCAAAAAAACTTGGCAAAATTGTCCAATGAATTTCCAATGTATTCACAACAAAGAATGCTCCCTGTTTAGGATATATGGCTAGCAGTTACCAGCAACTGTACCATAACGAAATATGCCCACCTCCACGGTTGATCTTTGAATTGTCCACTTATAAAATGATTGTTTCTCATGGTTGAAAGATTTTATGAACAAGCATTCTGTGCAGTCTCACAAGTAGTAATGAGTTAGGATTGGAAGTTTCTGGTTCTATTCCGAAGAAAACTCAACTTAAATGAATCAAATCATTTAAGAGCCATTGTGATTCCGAGCTCCCCCTCCAAATGCTAAAATTCCCTTCAGATTTAAAATATAAATTGTCTTCCACATCCATCTGAATACAGAAAGAGTTGAAAAGACAAACTGAAACAGAGGAACCTGGGAACAAGCCTATTCTGCAATTGGATCGAATTTGGTTAGCTGGCCGGTTCGCTTTTCACTGGCATCCGGCGACCACAGTCGCCACAGATGCGAACTCCTCTGGACCATTTGTTCTCTGCGTATATTCTTTGCCGAATACTATAGGAAACCTATCTGGCTATCTCTATACATATATAAATAATTAATAAAAATTAGAAAAAGAAGAATTCGAACTCCCGTTCTTGTACAGAGCCTATTCTTTTCTTGCTCCAAAAGATCATCTCTTTGCTCAACCGCCAAATTCCCTCCTACATAAACACCCCAAACAAACTCTTGTTCTTCACACCCATTGGCCGGAAAACCTCAGATTTCTCGTCGGAAAATGTCTAACCACACCGTGATACCAATCCAAGCCACTCATGAAGACCCACGTCTCCCACCATTAAAGCGTCAGCATACTGCACGCTATTATGCACACCGGGTACGCGAGAGCCTCGCCACCCGCGTTTCGAAGGTACTATGCACCATCTTCTTGGGGCTTCTCTTCATCTTAGGGATCCTCGCTTTCATTCTCTGGCTTAGCCTGCGACCTCACCGCCCCAGGTTCCACGTTATTGACTTTTCGGTGCCGGGTTTGTCCCAAGAAAACGGCTTTGAAAACGCTCAAATATCGTTCAACGTAACGGTTCGGAACCCCAACCAAAATATCGGGATATATTTCGACAGCACTGGAGCATCGGCTTACTACAGGAACCAGCGTATCGGCGAAACGCCATTGCTGTATCCATTCTATCAGCCACCGAAGAACACGACGGCGATTCCCGGTGTATTGAGTGGCGCCACACTCAACGTCAACACTGAAAGGTGGAAGGAATTCATGGCTGATCGAGCCACAGGAACTGTGTTATTCCGGTTGGATATAACGTCAACGATCCGGTTCAAGGTGTCAACGTGGGACAGTAAGCATCATAAGGTGCACGCTAGCTGTGATGTTTCGGTGGGCCAGGACGGTCTTATCTTGCCGGCGTCGAGGAATAAAAGATGCTCGCTTTACTTCAGTTGATTGATGTAAGTTCGATTTTTCTTTTTTTTTTAATTTTTTTGGAGCAATTTTTTTTTTCTTTTTTATTTTCTCTGTTGTTGAAGGTTTTGGTTTTCCGGCACCGGATCCGGGTCGTCACTGATGCTCAGTTTGTATTGGTTGTTGACTTGTTATGGCTTTACCTAAAACTAAATTGTTGCTGCAAATGGATCGATGTAATCGTATGGACCTAGATCGAATTAATTTTATCAACACATGTAATATAAGTTTTAAGCATAATAATAAGCGTATATATATTTGAGTTGAATCAAAATAGATCATATAAAATCCAATAGCGACTGATCCATATCCAATCCAATTATAAATGATGGAAAATCAAATTCGAAATTAGGGATGCAATGTAGACACTGGGCAGACTTGTGTTTGACTTGTATCAAAATTTGAATGGAGCAAGCCTTTTAAAATGCTAATTTGGGTTAGTCCGAATTGCACCCTAGTTGAAATTGGACAAACCGATACCGTTTTTGGCTCTGATATAACACAAGAAAATGCCTCCCGTCCATCCACACCAGGTTACAAGTATTGTAAAGGTGATCGGTTGATGCTTGATATACCATGCACTTAGGGGTACAATTTAGGTGGATTTAGATTAGGCTGCCAGCTCAATATGCTAACTCAGGCTTACCCTAATTGTGCCCTTACCCACACCATATGCATAGATGTGAAATCCATACTCGTGATTGATTTTGCCTACTCCAGCAATACATAGATATAGATGTATTCGCAGCCAGGACTGGGACTAGGGGAAACCCAGGGGAGTCGCATGCCCTCCCCGCCCCCACTCCCCAATGTAGGGGTGTTCACATTAAATGTAAAATCAATCAAATCGATTAAACTGGCCTGACTTAATTTAAATTGGTCGATTTTTCAAAATCAATGGTTAGTTTCGGTTTGTATGAAAAATAAGCTGACAATTTGATTCGGTTTCGGTTTTTATGTATGAAAACCAAAATCAAACTAAACTGAATTGATCTTATATGTTTAAGTAATTATTAATTAATCCTTACTCTATATATTAAATGTTGATATATTTTATTTGTGCTTCGCTTGAACTTTGAAAAAAAAAATGATTATTTGTGATAAAAACTAATAACGCCAAACCAATACAAATATAATACAATGATACAATATTTAATTCAGTTTTGTATAAATTTAAATATATATTGATAAAACAATCAATTTTGCATAAAAAATTAATCAATTTAAATATATATATTTTGATTTTAATTAAAAACTAAAAAAATAAACTTAAATATAAATAGATATTTAAAAATGAATATTTTAGTTATATATATATATATATATATATAAACCAACTAAACCAATAAATCAACCCAAACGACTCTTTCATGTTTGGATCGATATTACTTCATAACCGATTACTTTTGGCTTATTCAATAAGTAAACCGATTAAGTCAGCTCCACGTTACAGCAGATCCGCACTCCACTGCGGAATTTAACTTTAAGCTAGACAATAAGACAAAGCTAGTTGAATTGCCCGTTCTAGCTTGGTAGAGAAATAATAGGGGCTTTATTGTCATGGCCAAAGTATAACGAATGATGAAAAAGCATAGGCCGCTTTTATATTGCAGTTTGCAGATGAGGCCCATGAGGATATAAAGCTAAGCTTTATATACTTAGCAGGGGATCAAGGGGTTTGGTATCGGGTGGATGATTTGGATGAGGTCCCTACCGGCTACCCCTACACGTGAAGGATAAAGATTTTCATATCACTCCATCTTTCCTTTTACTTCACGTAGCTGAAAAGGAATATCCGACGCAAGGATGTTGTTTTGCATCCCAAGTGCTCGACCCATTTTCCAAACAAGGCAGAAGGCACCGTCCCACTGTTCTCCTAGTCTATGTGTTGGCTATGGCTGGAAATTAAATCAGGATTTTTTTTTTTATTTTTTTACTTAGACTCGATCTCATAAAATATAAAATTCGACTTTCCTGAGTCAACTAGCGACTCATCGAGTCAACCTGAGTCTTACTTTTTCATATAGATAAAAAAGCACGTACACCCTTCTTCTGGAACTGGAAATGCTTATATACACTATGGAACTCGTATCTTTTGTTTCTGCGGTGAACGAGGTCTTCATTCATGGATTAGGATTAATAGCCATGCTTTGTTGTATTGACTTGTTTGAGTTATTTAACGAATGTAAGTTAGCAGTTGGCATGCGTACAACCCCCCCTCGATCGAGGCCAACTTTTGATAGATATGTACATATGATAGATATGAAGAAGATCGATTTCTATGGTCGGTATATTGTCTGTATGAATTTCTTTGCTAATTAATTGCTTGCTCAATTTTGTTGCAAAGATTGATGTAAGTCGGTACGTTGAACCTAATTATGCGCTTTGTACATTAATCCATTGTGAACCTCTTGAAAGCGAGCTTTTGAGGAAAAAGAATATAGCTAAAATCTGTTGTCACTTCAACTTAAAACCCAACTTTGGTGTTTCTTTACTTTTTGTTGATGTGCTTTCTATGAGAGTTCACATGCATCAAAGAGGAGAACCGCGACAGTCTCAATGAGGCATTAATATATATCCTGTATATCCATACCATACGTTTCAATGGATGATCAGATTCAGATTAACATAGCCAAATGGAGACGTGGTACGATTGCGATCTGTGTGCCCCTTGTTGCTCTGTGACAATTTCCAACCAAAAACAACCCAAAAGAGAGTCGCGATCTTGACACATAAAGTACCTTTCGAAACGCCCCGCTTCTGTTTTAACCTTTTTTTTCCCTATGGTTAAATTAAATGCCCTACTTTTAGTTACCACTAAGATCAAAACTATTAATAAACTATATAGTGGGCCAAAAGTTATGCTAATCTGCAAGAATTGCAGAGAAGATACTACACCATCTATATATATCCAATTCCAGAATCATCGACCAGTTGATCAAATCAAGCTCTTAAGTTTAGATGCACCATCTAGATGCTTTCTTGTTATCAGATTGGAATATCCTTAACACCTGATCACACGGCCACCTTGTTTCCATTCAAGTCCTATATGATCCCAAGTCATCGGGTGGCCTATATCCATACTACCACACCCCACTTAAGGTTGTCAAATGTCCAATATCTGACACCAATCCAATGGTGTAAAGTTGGTTTCGATTCACGTTCACGTGAGATTACTTCCATTCTATCATGTTCGGCAAGCTTTTGGTGCAGAGAATTGGTTATTTGCTTTGTCACTTTTGTGGGGGTATGAGATAACGAGAAGCTAAGCTAGCTACCCATGTGGCCATGTCAATATGTCATGCACTCACAAAGTCACAGACCTAATTGATTAAGAAATTAATAACATCTGCACTTACTCTTTCCCTTCGACACTAAGTATCTTCCAATCCTAGCAAGCTAGTTATAGTAAAGCATCTGGAATCATCAAATTCCTTCAAACCAAGCCGCTTCTTCTCCAAATAGATCCATAAAAATGCTTCCCCGAAAGATCTACCAAGATTATCGAGTTGGCTTTTGCTTTTGGATTCTGCAAGTGATAATCGTCCTAAGCTTAGCCTCGGTTGTGGTATGGCTCAGTTTACGTCCTAAATGCCCCACCTACACCATCGTGGATGCTTATATCCCTGCTTTAGATGTCAAGAGTGCAACTTCCCATGAAAATAGTGAAACCAGTCGGAATAACAGTCTCTTCTTCAGCCTCGAAATCCGGAATCCTAACAAAGGAATCGGCATCTACTACGACGAAATCAACTTGTCGGTGTATTATGGGGATGCAGTAATCGGGTTGAGTTCTGTGTTTTCTTTTTATCAAGGTCACAGGAAGACCGCTCGACGTGAAGTGAGACTCAACGCTGACCTGCAATTCCTGAGAGATGTATCCAGAGCAGTTTCTTCACAAGGGAGCGTGGATCTGCGAGTGGGACTAGCGGCTGCTATAAGATTTAAGATATTCTCTTCTAAGACGAAGCATCAGAACATGGAATTACAAGCCAACTTGCAGGTCGGTTCCGATGGCAAGCTTGTTGGGGAGAACAAAAAGCTGCTTAACACACTGGAACAGCCAAAAGCTGGACATTAATTAATAAGCTGGCTTTCTTTTCTTTTAGTACAGGTCAAGATTCTGGTTAGAGCTGCAGGTAAAAACGTAAACTCAATTTATTTCTGTTTTATATATTTTTTCCGTCGATAGGTTTTGACAATTTTAGACTTCTATATCATCACCCAGATTACAAGCGTCTTACTGCTACGGTCCAGTCCAAAAGCCAGCTGAGCTACATCTCAACTCTCAGCCGGTTCCGCCTTACTCCCTTGATTTGACTCCACTCTGAAGTCTCAAGTAGACAATGACTCGTCCAACTCAGGTCATTGACTTATCCGGTTGATGGCTCTCTTTTAATTCCTGTCCGGGTCGGTAGAATTTGAGTGAACCCTCCAAGTTTTCTTGGTATCGTTATTCCTGTGAACCTTACACCGTATTTATATTTAGATGTTTTTTTTTTTTTGAGATGGTATCAGAGCCTGTATGACCAAGTGGTCTAGGGTTCAATTTTGATCTGTGCTTGGTTATTGGGTGAGGAGTGTGTTTGTTTTGATAACCAAATGGGATGTATTAGAAAATAAAAACTTATTCTGAGACTCGCTTAGCAGTTAGCACTTTTTGGTTGAAGGGTTACTTCAGAGTTTATAAAGGTTTTGTTTTAGTATATTTAGTCTAATGATGGATATTAATAGTGTAGAAATTATAATACCGGCAACACTCAACAAATGAAGGAAAAAAATAGTGTAGAACTTATAGGAATCAATAAATTAAATACAAAGTAAAGCAATCATGTTCTATGCCGCATGTATAAAATTCTAAACAAAATTGTGGATATTAATTCCCTGAAATCAACTCCATTGTCAGGGTTATCAATCCGACTGATCAGAAGTTTCAGTCATTGAGATATGGATCCCACTCCTGCTTGCCTATTTAATACATATTGAAAAGCTATATATGACGTTGTCGATTGAGGTAGCTCGTCCCCAACTGTTTCAAAAGCTTTTCTTGCTACCCGAAGAGCTGAAGACACTTTTACTGTGAAAAATATATTAATTAAATAGAAAGGATTAAAGCTGGAAGCTGCTACCTCAGCCTCAGGCTGTGCTAGCTGCACGGCTTTGGCTTTGGAACAAGAAAAGAAAAATATTCAATGCATGGACCGCACTTTGTCAGCATAAATTGGGTAGGACATGATTCGTGCTAGCGTAATGAACCAACGGAGGGCTGGCTCGTTGGCCGGTGTGTTAGCTGGTTTGTTCCAGTTTCGATGTAGAACCAAATCCTCCAATTAGCGCTTTTAGCAGGGGGAAGTAATTAATGATACATAATAATACAAAAAATGATGGGCCTCTTATTAACCACTTTGATCGAATAATTTAGAATAATAGCAGCAGGCTAGAACCTAGAGTGCCCTCTTCCCAGTTCCCATATGTCCTCCTCTTGGAACTAGTAGAAGTAGGTCTTACAAAATAATAATAATAATAATAATAATTAGGGTAAAAAACTTAAATGTACTTGAGTTTTTATTAATTGACTTAAATATACCCTGTAATTTGCAAAAGAACTTTTACATTCTTGTTATCTTGGGAGCCCGAATCTCCTGCCCATGAGAACCTTATCCACTTTTACCCACAATACACCACCCTCCCGTAAATTGGGAACATCTCCCATGCATAATACTATGCAGAGGATGAGATGTTCTCCATGTGTGGTTGGATGGATTAAACAAAAGGAGAAATTTTCCTTTTCTAAAACTCAAAGGAAGTCTTCTTCCACATTGAAACACCCTCTTGTTTTCTTTTCTTTTTTCTTTTTTATTCATTTTCATTTCTTTTTTTATTTTTTTGCATTTTGTGTGATTTTTTCAAAGTTACCAGACTTGTACATTGGTCTATATACCAGGTCGATTCTTGAAGGTCTTAGTCACATCCACTCTCACATGTAAGTTCACTGTGATATCAAGCCCGAAAATATCCTTCTTATAGCATCATCACCATCATCTCCTTCATCAAGGAAGAGGTAGAATAAGAGTGAAAACAACAACTATGTTGCGAAGATTGCAATTTTGGGTTGGCAAAGAAGGTTTATCAGAACAAGGAGCCACCCTGTTTCAGAGGCACACCTTATGTATATGTCGCCAGAATCCATTATTGATCGCATTGAGGAGCCTCCATGTGATGTATAACTCTTGGTTGCACTGTACTCGGCATGCTTAGTGGAAAGCTAGAATGGAGTTATGGGTCAGGACCATGACTCACCTTTGATGTTAGAGGAGATATCAGAGGAGGGGAAGGATTTATGAAGAGATGTTTTGTGAGGAATGCCAGCTTCAGGTGAACGGCTGACATGCTATTGCTTCATCCTTTCTGCAGAAAAAGGTGTCGAGCACTGCAGAAGAAGTCGGTATAGAAGTTCAATGAAGAAGAATTAGAAGACAAACTACTTCTATTAGTGTAAGGAAATTGGCAGTTTAGAAGTGGGAAACAAAACGAATGAATTGTAAAGAAACAGAAGGAACGATGAGGGAGAAAATCTAAGTAGGTAGCTTTTCTTAGTCAAGGAGAGGACCTCTTTTTAACTATAGATCAGGGATTTTTCCAATTCTTTTTCTTTTACTTTTGGGTGTATGAAGATTGAATTGTATCAATTGATTCATTGTAAATCTCTGTAATTTGATTGATATAATGAAATTCTTTGTTTTTTTTTCCACTTTTCCTTTGGCATGTTTTCTTCGATTTTGATAGAACAAATTTCTGTGACCTCTCATGGATACAATATGCAATAGTTCCTTTACTCATGAAAGATTTTGGAATTGTGTTGGATCACACCTTTTTGGATGCCATGAAAAATAAAATGGTTTAGTTATAATTCTCTTGTACATTGCTAAAAAATCAACATTTAAAATAGATCTATTCCTGGTTTTTAATAAGCATTTGCAATAAGATTATTTTTCCTTTACTGATTAAAGATATAGAACATTTCCAGTTCTCACGAAGGTTTTTTCGACGGAAATATCTGAAACAGAACTATATTTCATACCCTCTCAGTTCAGATGAATGCAAATGACTAACACCACAAAAGCTAGCAAATTTTTTACTGCTAGTCTCTGAATTCTGATCAACTATGGAATTGGTTCCAAATGACAGAATTCCAAAACTGGAGAATTGGTGCCAAATTCTATTCCACTGAGATCAATGCAGAAACAAAATGAACCCATTTGCGTTTTAATCTTAACATTTTGATATGAATCGGTTTCAGGTAATGGTGTGTTGGATCAATTACTTTGCAGAGCTAAAATTAAATAATTGAAATTTCAGGCGGCTTTTGAAGAGGCTATTATAGCATGTTTAGACACAAGTTAAATGAAATATGGGGGAGTTGGTGTGTGGGTTGGAGAGGAATTTTATGGACTTGGTCCATTCATACATTTCCTCAAACATGTGGTGGTTATCTCTGTTTTCCAACCCATATTGGAAAACATTACTGATTGCTAATAAGAAGGAAAAAGGTAAAATTGGGTTTTTAAATAATTAAATAGGCTGCATGACCTCATATTTAATTGATACTAACGTTTTTTTTTAACTAAAGGGTGTATTTAAGTCTCATGGGGTCAATCCAAGTCCTTTTGCAAATCTCAGGGAGTAACCCAGGGTATGTTTAAGTCTTTTACCCTAATAATAATTGTTTGGGTTTCATTTTTTCCTCCATCATCCAGTCTTTCGGCATTTTTCCACAATAATCAGGTATAAAAAGCATTACGGCTATGTTTGATTTGAAGGAAAAAAATAGGAAAAGGAAGAAAAAAACAGGGAAACTAATACATTTTCTGATTTTTTCTTCAAACCAAACATAGCCTAAATGATCGAAGGCATGTTTATCAATTTATGTCATTGGCCTGCAAGGAATTGAAGGGGGCAAGTACCAATCTTCTGCACTCCTTTACGTTTACACTTCTGACAGAGAATAAAAGCTATCAGGATCTCCAGTTAGGGCTGTAAATGGTATCAGATCGTCCGAATTCGATCCGTTTGTTCAATTTAAATATATGCACTGAATTATACATATAAAGATGGTTTGAATGTTATATTTTTACTTTGTTTTACGTTCAAATTTCATATAAATAACTTTCAATTCATTTTGTTTATGGAATACAATATCAAGATAAGTTTTAATTCATTTTATTTATAACATATGATATTTTAATCATTTTTAGTTTATCCTACTTGTAATTTAATCCAACATAAATCCATGAAAAAGATGCAATTAGAATTCAAAAATAAATATATCAATATCTAATATGATTCGATTCATTTGGAGCCCTATCTCCTACAGTCACCAATAAAAGTTCATCAAAAGTCCTTAAGGAGGGGGCTTTGATTGGTCAAAGTTCTTTCAGTATCATACCCATGCAAGGACATTTGAGAATTTATTCTGATTGACAAAAGTTGCTTCATTGGTAGTGGCCGTTTGATATCAACTGAAATTGCTGAACTGTATATCTATCACTTTACCTTTAAGCGGATAAAATAATTAAATAGTAAAACTCTTGAAAATTTTAGTGGTTGAACTTTATCTTTAAGCCCACAACTTCAACTTTATCACTAAGGGGTAATTTAACAAGTTTTTAAGAAGGTTGTGGGCTTTTTAGTGGTTGAAGTTGAAGGTGGATAGAATATTAAATATTGTATCCTTGAAAATTCAACCACTGAAAAGCCCACAACCTCCTTCTATCACTTTATCTTTAAGCCCACAACTTCAACTTCAGCCATTTCAGCTCTTATCAAATTAGCCCTTAGTACAGAGAACAAACATGGAATAAAAGGACTTCATTAATTTGTTTTATTTTTTTTATCCAATTAGAGGTCAACTCAAAACACAAAGCAGGATGCCTTAAAAACTAATAACCAACCAACTCGTAAAATTTAGGAATGATAATTTCTATCCTATCCAATGGGTATCCACGTATCCACCTCACAGGGTGGGTTTTTTTGAACGGATTCTAGGGCAGAGACGAGTTTTGTATATAGATAGAGTATAGTATTAAGCTAAACCTGACCTGTATATCGAATTTACCAGAATAGCCCTAGTGCTTCCAACTATATTATTGTTGCGAGACATATACACTTATATGTTCTATGTTGAATTTAATAGTACTTTGAATCTTATGTGGAGGATCATTAATAATTTGTTTTTTCTACATGTTTTAGTCAAATAATTGGAAAGCTTGATGTTTGTCTATGCTATTTGTTTTTACTTCTGCGATTTTTGTTTTACCATTCCCAAGTGTAGTACCAAGGAAGCCTGCAACTCAACGAAGCCAACTCTTCCTTCTCCTCACATCCCTTTGAAGCCAAGAACGATCGATAAAAGTATCAGCAACCTCTTCTTCTAACACTGACCACCTTTTGCAGCTGCAAACAAGACCGATGAGGCGGCTACCTCTTTGCAGCGGTGAATAGAGACAATGAGATGGTTATCTCTTGTAGTGGTTTTCTCATTGTTACAGTATTACTATTACCCTATTTGATGTTCTTTCACTCGCTCAACAAAGCCCGTGGATCATACGGGTCTCCACTAGTAATAAATAAATATGAACAAATATATACAAATGCTTTTTAAATCTGTAAATGAATGTGTACAACACAATTACGTGCAATTTCTCTGTAACTGAGTATGTGCGCCTAATTTTCTATACAAATTTCTGCATTTGTTGGTATTTTCTTCATTTTTTTTGGTATTTACTGTAATTTTAGACATTACCACCGTTGAATTTAAATATTTAATAGTAATAGTTTTAACGTTTTATTTGTTACATTTTCTATGTCTCATATGATGGTTTCAGTTCTCTGCATTTTATCTATTTATTTAATATTTTATCTAAATTTTATATTTTTATTTATCATATCACGGGTTGACCCGTTTAATCTGAATGGTTGAACTGATGATGATCTGAAAACCGGAGACAAAAACTATTCGGTTTTGGGGTCAAATTTTAAAACAATGGAAGAGCAGAGGGTACGGGGAGGAAGATTTGGGAATGTAGAGAGGATTAGTCAAAAGTCTTTTTATCATACTTTTCGGTAACGATTGCCTATCGCAAACAATGGGATATGTTCTCGCAGCACTCCCTTGCGAGTTACGAGTTACGACCCCCAAAACCAAAAGGGAATCAGTTTATTCGGGGTCGTCGGTAGCTACGGACGGTTGAAGGTATCTCCTGAAAGTACAAATTGTGCACTGAATCCAATCATACACAGGGGAAAGAAGATGATATTCTCGATATGCGGCTGGATATGCCGTGTACATCTCAGGGTCCCCCTTTCAGGAGATCAGTGCTCGCAGCAGAGGTATCCACTTAGGCACTTGACCAAGGCCGTACAATTAAAATTGGTAATCTAAAGAGCCAGAGATACTCCCCACTTTTCTTGGTCATATCCCATTCCCATCCCAAAGCTAAATTGTATGATAGTATCTGGATCGAGTTCGGATCTCCTCCTATCCACACCTCCCCACGCCAGTGTAACGTAGATAGGAGATCTGATTTCATCTGTATCAAGTACTTCGACCGACCACCATCTCCCCCTGATTCTATCTGTCTCTCTCCATTCAACTGCCTTCCCAACTCCCAAAGTTCTGTCCCGATGACGTGGTTCATCGTGGTTGGCTGGCCCACTATTCTCACGTTTTAACTAGTAAAAACTTGTAAGAAACTTTTACGAAGTTCACAGCGAAATTATTGGATTGGAGGTGCTTCACATGTACCATTTTCAACTGGATTCCAATCCAATGGTTGCAGAGTTATTCATGGAGCATTGTTAATTGTTTAGCCCAACAATTATAACTTCCAATTTATATATTAATTTATTTGAGCACAATTACAGATAAGGTGTAGCATTAAGCGTGACGAGATCTGCTTCTAACAGATGGCGCCCACATGCACATTCACCATACGTTAGAAATATCTTTTGTGAATATTCATTAATAAATACGGGAGATATTCACAATGCATGGAGGATATGCCAGTGAAGCGCCAGGTGATCAAGCATGGTTAGCTTGTATTAAGAAATTAATTTTATTTTATTTTATGTTTTTGGTGATCATCCTCTTTTCCACGGACCACGGCCTTCTCCTCACCTACTCGCTCGTAAACGCCAACGCGTAAGTCCTGGAAGTGGTGAGTGTGAGAATGTCCGAGTCCGACTACTCGTCGCTAGTCCTGGTCCTGGAATATCGGGTGAGTATGGGACAGATTCGTCATTCCAGAAAAGGAGAAAAGAAGAAAAAGGACTAAAGGAGTCAAAACGATAAGAAAACAAACCAAAATATATACCAGGCGATCTAGACTACCGGTTAGTAGAATAACTGAAGAAAAAAAAGAAGGGAAGAACCCCCACCCCATTTGATGTGGGAGGGATAAGGGAAGAGAAGAGAAGTCAATCGCTTGTGCTTGTTTTAAATCTGCTTTTGGTGACCCTTCAGTTCATCGTCTTGACTTTTCAGCAGCGATTTCCCCAGAAAAAAATTAACCCACAACGCATGTCGGAGTCCACGGGATGCTGCCGGTGGTGCACAAGCTTCATCTTCACCCTTGGTCTCACCGCTCTCTTCCTGTGGCTCAGCTTACGCGCCAGCAAGCCCTCCTGCTCCGTTCAAAGCTTCTACGTTCCGGCCCTCAATTTAACCGCTAACGACCCCCGGAACGCCACCGTAGCCATCCATCTTAGACTCAGCAACGGCAACAAGGACAAGGGTATCTACTACGACGACGTCCGAATCGCCCTTTATTACAACGCCGTCAACGGAACGGTAGCCGTTGGGAACACCTCAATACCTGCGTTCTATCAAGGGCATAACAAGAAGGCTACCAAACAGGGAACTGTAAAGACCGAGGGAGTTCCCTGGAATAACGCTCAGAAGAATGTTTCAGCCAACGGGGAGGTGGAATTCCGGGTGGATTTGGCGACGGCGGTGAGGTTTAAGATAGTGTGGTGGAAAACTAAGCGGCACAGGATGAACATCAGCGGGCGGGTCCAAGTCAACCGGGATGGGAAGAAAACATACAACAAAAACATAAAACTCTCCGGCGCATCGGAGCTGGTTTGCTTTGGTACACCGATGTGGATGTTGGCTCTCTCTTTTTTCTTTTTAATTTTGTGTTAGCAACTAGTAGTAACAGTTGCTGGGTTTTCTTTCGATTTTTTTTCTTTTTTAATTAATTTTTGGAAAATTAGAAGTCAAAACCTTTTTTGGTTCTTATTTTTATTGTTTGTAATTTTAATTGGAAGGAGAATTATCAATATTTGTTATTCCACAATCCACAGAGAAGATGTTAGATGGAAGTCTGGACGGAGGAAAGAAATGATCCCGTTCTTTTGTGGATAATTCCAGATTCCAGATCTATGGTGTGACAATAGATTCTAAATGCCCTTCATCTACCACAGAACCCGTGAACCGATGTTAATTGATTTTTGTTTGGTTGTTGCAATTGTCATTTATAAAAATCCATTGTTAGAGTGTAAAGTAGAAGAGACAACAAGGATGTGAAACAGCTGATTTCAATATGGATTGGGCTTAAAGCAAAGAAATTTGATCGATTCGGATGCAGGTTGTTTTGAGTAGTGGTGTAGCTTCTAGCAATTATTTTTGGTCCTACGGACGCCTCTTCTCCTCTCCAGGCAGAAGCGGTAGCTCTGAAATAGAGGATTCTATTTCCGCTGGTTTCCAGAATGCAGTGGCAGAGAGTGGTGTTTTTTTTTTTTTTGTTGACAAGTGGCAGAGAGTAGTGTTTAAGTCGCAATGCCAGCATCCCATTCAGGCTGTGATCAAGAAAGAAAATTTGGACTCTGCTGAATCTGTGTTTGCTTAATGACATTGTTTTACTTTCTTCCTCTCTTGAGTATTTTCCTTTTGTTTTTTTCCCGCCTAGGTCAGTTCACTGACCTGTTGACTGTTGAGGGCTTTTTCGGATGGTTGTAGCCTGTAGTTTGTTTTGTTTGCCGAATGAAAGGACTTTCCTACAACTAACAAGCCAAGAACAACTTAATGAATTGGTTTAGTACGGCTTAATTTGGCCGCTCTTTTCTTTCAAAACCCTCCAATTGATTGAAAGCCCTTCTGATTCTTGCATTTCTATTCTCCTTTATGCAGGGCTTTGGAAACGATGCAAATAAAGTGGAAAATGGTGCAAACAGACTTTTAGTTGTAATGGATGTAAATACTAATTTTAATAAAGTATGTCTTTTTTTTTTTATCAAAAACTCATTTGAATGCAAATTTACTTTTTTTAGGGATAAGTGGACTTTAATGCACCTCAGAAAATCTGAAATTACAGCCCTCTCCTAGTCTACTAGTAGTCGCATCCTATTAATAAATTTGTCATCAATCCACAAGCAGGATTCAGTCCACCCCTAAAAATTTTATCTCCACCGTAGGACTGGATTGAACTATAAAAATCCCTTTTATTTATTGATATACTTTTACATTTTATTATCAATATAAATATGTATCGGTAGATGTATTTTCTGTCTTTTGTCGATGCATAAATATAATATTACCAATCACAGACAAAAGTGAATCAGAGCATAAATGAACCGGGATTTACACTCTATTTTACATCGTTTCCAAACGCAGCCTTAGAGTTTTTAAATTTGGGGAGATTTGAATTGACAAAATTAATGATGCAAACTTTGGCGGGCTCGGATTGAGCATTAACAAAATTTGAACGGACCTAGCCGGCCACAATGTAAATTAAAGGATACCCAATCTGCACCCCTACAGGGCCTACACAAATTCATCAAAAAAAGGACAAATTCATGAGTTGTTGTCGATGTGTGCTCGATCCCCGCTTTCAGTGTGTGCTGAGTAGGGAATCCCTTCGCTTAAAAATGTATTCCTACCAACACGATATATACCTGTTCATGGCTAGTTAATCCAACGGGTGGGTCCGACCTGGTTTGTTTTTTGCTGGGTTTGGATAGTATTCCAGGCCCACGGTCTCAGGCTTGGGCCCAAAACACTAGGCCTGATTTTTTTGGGCTAAGCTTAGGCTTTTGAGTCCAAAACACTAGGCCTTTATATTATATAAAGGGTTCCATTATGTGGAAAATTTTACAGGCATCATATAAGAGATGACCAATCAGGTGGTGTTCATCAAAATTCAGGGTGCTTTGATTGGTTAAAGCTCTTTCCGTACCTTGTCTCTCCAGTATCATATATTATATAAGAAATAATATATAATATATGTTTTTTCTTTGTTACTATTCTCTTTTTTAAGTCATAGTGAAATATTTCAACATTTGAGTTCTAAAGTTGTTTAAAATAAATAAATAAATCAATTTAGTTATAGAGTAAAAAAACAAAAAATGTCTTTTTACTCGATTTACATGTGTATCCAGTCTCTTTGAATCGTGTAGGAACCGGGGTCATCCATGCCAAGTAGGTAATGTGTCGCCGCTTACCTCGGAATTGAAAGGCATACTACCCCAGACAAGGGTGACATGCCACGTAGGTCAGTAGCTCAATACCCCAGAATTCAGCTTGCTAATAGTCTTTGGCTACCCAGGTCATGGCAGAGGTCCTCGGCTTGCTCTCCCGAGATGATATATGTTGCCCTATCATGGAGCGACCTACTAGCCTTTCTCATGTCGGGATATAAGTCCGGTGGGTCAATCCAGGCCGTTCTAGTTCCACCCGACCTATCCCATATGGCGCCGAGGTATCGTGGTTGGTCATCTAAATCACCTTCATCAACCTCCAAACTTGCAAGACCTCTAAAGCTCAGTTACCACATCAAAATTTGGGACAAAAGATTCTGAGGACATCAAGAAGCTAGCTACCACATCAAAATTCCATGGATCTAATCGCTCTGTTATCCAATGAGCTTCTTCAAATCTTCTCTAAGCTTCCAGACTCAATGAAACCCTAATTCTCTTGTATGCAATTGATGGGTAGCTCTTCATGGTCGCCTTGTTTTTTCCCTCAAGCTCTTCGATTGGGATGCATCAACACATCTTTCCAAGCTTTTCGTGGCTGCCTTGTTTCTTCCTCGTGCTGTTCGATAGGGATGTTTTGACACATCCAGGAATTCCGGTTTCTTGTTACCCCAATCTTATTGATGATAATCTCATTCTGGCATTCTGGCATATTTTTTACCCTCTTCATTGATAGATGATGCCATCGAAAAGTGCTCAAGTCCGTAGGACAACTCGAATGTATCCTATAAAGAGGAAAACGATGTCAGAGGGTCTGAGGTGATATCCCGTGCTTGTAGCTCCAACGGTCAAGTTAGTATGCCAAATTGTTTAGAGGGTGGTTGAAAATTCAGTGAGTCATAAAGGATTCGGGATACTTGTCCCTTATATAGGATTCAGGATACCTATCGGAGTATGTATGTGCCGGACAGACATAGGGCACATGTCATAGTTTGAGACACCTGGAGCTTGCTTTGCCTTGGTGGAGCTTAGGTAGGACACCTAGGATTCTGTCAAGACACTTGTTACTCAAGCTTGGCCACATAGTGCTCGGCCCGAACATCTTGGCCTGATTCAGGCCAACAGATATCCGATTGAGACACCTGGAACCCGGCTCGAGCACTTGGAGCTTAATCAGGGCTACCTGTTAAGCCACATGGTGCGTAGTTGTGATGTGCTATGGTGATCTATCCTCCATGTCTCCAATGTATGAAGTAGGCCCGAGACCGGCTACCTGGCAGGTTTACCTTAGGTGTTGATGATCTTGTTGCATGTGCTGCTAGGTGGTCACTTGATGGATAAGTGTCTGGGTGTAGAGCTCTCATAGAAAGGAGCTCGTCTTGCTAATAAGGAAGGAGCTCTCCTAGGTGGGAGCTCGTCTCAACAGGGAGGTCGGTAAAGCCTATATGTACGAATTGAGTTGATAAGCCCAAGATGGTCTTATATGTCACTGAGATGACTCTTATTCTTTGAGATGACAACAAGATGACGATATCCGAACTAAAGGCAAGGCACCCAAACGTATCATGTGTTTAATAGTTTGGATGTCGGATTTACTCTCATCAGTAGAACCAATTATTGAAGGAGTATAGTCGATCGTGATGGCCATATTAGCATGAACAACACTCAACCAGAGGTCATCATCAAAGTAAAGAGTATTGTCTGACCAAGTACGGTACATATCAATATCTGCTTGAGTTGAAACATAGCTTCCATCGACGTTTAATAAGTAAAGCATCTAAAGGGTGACGAAAATATCATTCTACCGAGTTGTAGGGGGAGAATGACGGTTCAGCCCATAGTCAGAATTTTTAGACCCAAAGTACAGTTGGGTGCGTGCCAGCTCAGAATTGATGCTAATTCATAAGAGGCATTGGTGTATAGAATGACAGTTTTGACATTTTAAATGTTTATAGATCTGTAGTGAAATTCAAAAATCTACATTAAGCCTATCCATACTTCTCCGAATTGCAAGAGGGAGTAATTCATCTCGAATACATCAGGTATGGAAAGGATCTTGATTCCATTCACAAAGGCATACGCGTACGAATTTGGTGAGAAATTGATGTTTAATGCTCTATGATTCTCTACATTGACGTGGATGCAGCTCCAATGCCACCGAAGAAAAACGAGTAAGGGGTGTATTTGTCCACCATCTCTTAAAAAGGGATTAAGAGAAATTATTTGAAAAGGCCCAATGGTATTTTCGACTATAAAAAGACAATTTAGGAATAGCTTACAGCTAGGGATACCTTAAAGCCATTCCTACCTTTCCATTTTTTCCCTACCTTTTCCTTAAAACCACCAAACACAACCCAAGTTATTTTTGAAGTAGTAGGATAACTTATTCCATTTGTTATATTTAGGTTATGTTTGGGAGTGCTTATTGAATAAGCGCTTAAAAACAGATGCTTATTCGAATAAGCATTTATTTGTATTTGGTACCGAACTTTTTCTAGTGCTTATTTTTTAAAATAAACACTTATTTTATATTGAGTGTTTGGTAGTCTTTTTCTCTAATAAGTATTTGTTACCATTTTGTTCTTCATTTTTTTTTTCAAATTTTCAAAATACACCGTTTGAAAGCACTTTTGCAAAAGTACTTTTATGAAAGCATTTTTATAAAATCACTTCCATAAAAGTACTTTTATGAAAGCACTTCTATAAAAATACTTTTATAAAAGTACTTTCACTAAAGTGTTTTCATAGAAGTGCTTTCGTCAAAGTGTTTTCATAAAGTGCTTTTCTAAAAGTGTTTTTTTATAAAAGTGCTTTCGTAAAAGTATTTTTATAAAAGTGTTTTTGTAAATCTGCTTTCATAAAAGTATTTTTATAAAGTTCAATTAGGGATAATTTTATAAGTGGCATTTTAAAATTCAAATAGGGATAATTTTGAAAGAAAAAATTGACAAGTGCTTATTGTATAAACACTTAGAAAAAGCTAGAAATTTGGAATTAAAAAATAAATACTTATTTTGAACTTATTTCTCAAATCCCAATAAATGTTTAATGATTTAAATAAACATTTATTTTTACCACTTCCAAACATGGCCTTAACCCTTTATTTTTTCAAGGGAAACCAAACATAAAAATGCTAATGAGATCATTGAAGAATGAGTCAATCCTCTCCAACAGCGGTTGAACCGGTGAATCATGAATGGCTAGTTCAGCCGTTCGGTATCTGGTTTGGCTGCTCAAACGGACGCTGACAATGGACGAATGAATGGATATGGCTGACTGTGGACGCTGCCGCTATAGGCGGGGTCCATTACATGGGTACGGTAGAGATTAGAGCAAGGAGTCAAGGAACAAGTAGAACTGTAGAAGTGTAACCCTAATAAATGGAGAAAGGGTACTCAAATGAAAATCGCTCGAAACGCCTACGGCCTACCGCCCGACCCGGCTAGGACCTGCGACGG